AGAGAGAGAGAGAGAGAGAGAGAGAGAGAGAGAGAGAGAGGATAGAAATTTAATGAGACGATATGACGCTTAGAAGTGGGGGCTTGGTATGGACCCAGTGGGTCAACCCTATAATAGCATCTACTCCGGAGGCTAAGGCAAGAGGATTAAAGATCAAGGCCTTCCTGGGCTAGAGTGAGTTCAAAACCAACTTGGGCAACTTATAGAGACCCTCAGAATTTTTTTTAATTTTTTTATTATTTTTATGTGTATGAGTGTATTGTCTGGATGTATGCATAAGTGCACCCATGTCATACAATGCCTGCAGAAACCGGAAGAGGGTGTCAGATCCCCTGGAACTGGAGTTACTAACAGCTGTTAGCGGCTATGGGGGAACCAAACCCAGGTCCTCTATAAGAGTAGCCAGTGCTCTTAACCTCAGTCATCTCTCCAGTTCCTCAGAATTTTTTTAAAAGATTTATTTTATTTTTAATAGAGTGTGAATGTGTGTGTGTGTGTGTGTGTGTGTGTGTGTGTGTGTGTGTGAGCACATGAGTACTGGTACAGGGAGGCCAGCTGTGAGCTGTCTGATGTGAGCCTGTATGAGGGAATACACATATACACTAGGCCTGCTTCTTGTCTCTTGCCATGTGACACTCTGTGCCATCTCAGGACTCAATAAACCTCTTTATAAAGTAGCCTGCCTCAGCCATTTTGTTATAGTAACAAATAATTCTTCTCACTTCAGGTCACCAGTTTCCTCTTTAACACTCTTAACTAGTGAGGTTTCCTTTCAAGTAATAAATATATCAGGTACATCTCTGTCCTCATCCCAGGACACCCTAAGCCCCAAGCTCCTCTGCCCTCTCTCATCTTCACTCAAAGCAGTGCCTATAGCTGACCAGAAGCAGAAGAGCAACAGATCTACAGCAGCCTCCTGCCTGGACTTGACTACCCCAGGAGCTAAGGCCCAGGAAACTCTCCAAGTGCTTCCCCACAGAAAATAGCTCGAGTTGAAACTTGTGTCCACATGGTCCACCGACAGATTTAGAACTCAAATTATAGCCTCAGCAGGAGTCTTCACAAAGGACTCAAATTAAGCAAGACCAGGGTGGAAAGGAACAGGGGAGAGACAGCATTAAGTCAAACTGGAAAGTGAACTGCAGGTCCAGCCCAGTCAGAGGGACACAACCTGTTGAAACACTAAACCAAAGGCTCAGCCTGCTGCAGCCCTCTACTACAGGCCAATTCTCCCCAGGTTCCCAGCCTGAGATGCCATGGACACGAAGTGGTTACAACTTACTCAGGTTTCAAACTGAGTTCATTCCTGTCCTGTAGACCATCTCTCAATGCCAGCATTCATCTCCTTAGGCTCCTGAGAGCTCTGCCCTTGGCAAAGCAGATAAAATTAGCTCCTGGAGTGAACTTGGAATCCAGGGTGGGCCACTAAAAAAGTACACAGGAGATTTGTAAACGCCATGGAAAGCCTTCCTTTGGGCCAGGCCAAAGTCATCTAAAACAGAAATACAGTCAAATCCTCTGTCCCTTGCTCCTTTCCACCTTCTCTGGATCTAGGGTAATCCATTTCCTACTTTTCGTCCTTTTAAACCAGGGCCACAACCTGGGGCTCAGAACAAGGGGTGAATCAGAGGGCTCAAGGCAACAAGACCTGAAAGCAAAGGAGCACTTTCTTCTCACTAGGGGAAGGGGAGGTGAGTTAGGCTCTGCAGAGTGAGGACTGAGGGATAGGACAGGAAGTGGGTCAATTGCAAGGTTGAGGGTGTGATAATAGGAAGACAATGTTTCTGCTTTGCCTCTGTGTCCACACTCTTCTGACACAGGCCTGGGGTGTCAGGAAAATGGAAAAACCAGAACAGGGTGTGGTGGTGCATGAATATAATCCCAGCACCCAGGAGGCTGAGACAAGATTACCGAAAGTTTGAAGTGAGACTGAACTACATGGCATGACCCTGTCTCAAAAAGAAAATGGAGCCAAGCATGGTGGCTTGCCTTTGATCCCAGCACTCTGGAGGCAGAGGCTGGGTAAATCTCTGTGAGATCCAAACCAACCTGGTCTATAGTGAGTTCCAGGTCAGTTGGGGCTACAAGGAGACCCTGCCTCAAAAGCCACCTTAGTAATCAAGACTTAGAAAGACATGAGAAAAACTGCTTTTTTTCCCTCATCCAGGTCTCCCAACTTCCTCTTTAGCCACAAAATCTCCAGGCCTCTGAAAGCTGAGATAAAAGTCTGTGAGAAAATCCTAGTACTTGGGAAGCTTAAGGATGCTTCGAGGCAAGGCCAGCCTGGGCTATAAGGAGAAACCCTGACTAAACGACAACAATAACAACTGAGAAACCCTAAGACTGGCAAGAAATAAAATTAAAAAGGGGAACACAGCCAGGTGTGGTGGCGCACGCCTGTAGTCCCAGCACTTGGGAGGCAGAGGCAGGCTGATCTCTGTGAGTTCAAGGCCAGCCTGGTCTACATAGTTCCAGGACAGCTGGGCCTACAGGGAGATCTTGCTTCAAAAAGACAATAAATCAATAAATAAAATAAAAATAAAAAGGGGAACACATTTCTGGTCTTTCCCTTCACAATAAAGATAAACAGGGAACCTTTGTAGTTGATGATTCCAAGGCTAAATAATTTCTCCCAGAGATTTAGGGAGGGAAATCTCAAGAAGGTAAGATTCCTCAGGAACGTGGGTAGAGAACCCCTCAAAATGCAGCAGGACCCCCCCCACCCCAGGAGTGAAAGGATCCATAGCATCTCCCATTAGGAAAAGAGATCACTTAAAAAATGGGGGCAAAGGCAGGGTATAGGGGTTCATGCCTGTAATCCTAGCACTCATGAGGTTGAGGCAGGAGGATGGCTATGAGTTTGTGGCCACCCTGGGCTGCAGGGTAAGTTCCAGGCTAGGCTGGGGTACAGTATGAGACCTTGCCAAAAGCAAGGAAGGAGGGAAGAAGGGAGGGAGGGAAGAAAAGGTGGAGGCATATTTCAGAGATAAAAGGATTCCACAGGAGGACAGCTCAGAAGAACAAATAGAGAATCCAGAGATTACCCAGAAAATTGTGACACTCAAGGATTAGTAAGGGACTCAAAAGACCAATATTTTGAAAAAGTGGGGTATATCTTAGAGTAGTGGGGCGCCCTTCAGAACAGTGAAGGCGCAAATCACAAAGCAGGGGTATATCAGGCATGTTGGGACACCGCCTGTTATCCCACTACTTGGCTGAGGCAGGAAAATCATGAGTTCAAGGACAGCCTGAGCTACACAGTATAGCAAGAATGAGTCTAAAAAAAAATATTCTTTTAAAAAGTGGGGGTGAGCAAGGCATGGTGGTGCACACCTTTAATCCCAGCACTCCGGAGGCAGAGGCAGGCAGATGTTGGTGAGTTCAAGGCCAGCCTGGTCTACATAGTGAGTTCCAGGCTAGCTAGGGCTACAGGAGACCCTGTCTCAAAAAAAATAAAATAAAATAAAATAAAAAGTGGGGGGGGTGCCAAAAATTAGGGATAACTCAGAAAAGGGGGGGAAACCTCCATGGAGCACTTCAGATTATTTGGGGAAACTTGGAAGGATAAGTCACTCAAAGTGGGAACAGAAAAAAAACAGGGATAGAATTTCAGAAAGTCAGATGAAGAAGAGCCTATGCAAAAAGTGGGACAACAGCTCAGAAAAACAAGGACCTCCTCAGAAAATGGGAGGGCTCCCCTGGACAGGCAGGGTGACCTCAGGAACAACTGCCACCGGATGGAGAGAGAGGTCCTCAGGAAGAACAAGAATGTCTCCTGAGGGGAATGGAATCCTCCTGAGGGAGGCAAGGAGCCCCAGAAAGGTGAGGGGGTCCCTCAGACAAAGAGTAATCTCTCACAGAAGTGGAAGAATGAGGCCAGAGACCCTTAAAAAAAAGGGAGAGTGTCCCTAAGAAAATGGAGTCCCTCAAAAAAAGGTAGGGTGCCTCTGAGAAAGGAAACGGTCTCTCAGAAACGGGGGCTCCCCTCACAGACACAGGCGATTTCTGAGATGGGATCCCCTCAAAAAGTCTCTCAGAGAGACTCCCTGAGAGTTCGGTTCTCTCAGAGAAGGGCTCTCTTCAGAGGGAGGGTTCCCAGAGAATAAGGAGGTCTTTGGATAAGAGGGTCCCTCAAAGAGGTTGGCGCCTCAGAAAGATTGAAGGGAATATCAGAGAGGCATAGTCCCCTAGAAAAGGGGCACGCTCAGAGACACAAGGTCTCTAGAAAAGAGGCATCCTCAGAGACACGGGGTTCCCTCAGACAGGGGGTGCCATCGGAGAGGCTGGGGTCCTTCAAAAAAAGGGGTACCCTTGGAGAAGCAGGTTCCTATAAAGAACACTCTTAGACATCCAGTCCACTAGAGAAATGGTATCCTCAAACATGGGGTACCCACAAATGGGGGTCCTACAGTCCTTATAGTCCTACAGTCCTTACAGAGAAAGTCCTACAGTCCTACAGTCCTTTTAGAGAAAGGGTGCCCTCGGACATGGGGGGGGTGCCCTTGGACATGGGGGTTGCCCGGTAGGGTATAGTGCTCATAGGCAGGGAGTACTACAGAAAAAGAGCACCCGCAGAGACAGGGAGTACAACTGAGAAGGGTGGTCCTGAGGCCGGGGAACCCTCAGGAGGAGCGCCCCCAGACGTGAGGTCTCTCAGGAAAAGGGCGCCCCCAGACGCGCGGTCCGCCTCCAGATGCAGAGTCCCTCGGGTAAGGAGCGCCCCCAGACGCGGGGTCCCTCAGGAAAAGGGGCCCCAAACGCGGGGTCCCTCGGAGGAGGGGCGCCCTCAGAGCGGGGACCCTAGAGAAAGGCGCCCCCAGACGCGGGGACCCTAGAGAAGGGGGCCCTCAGAAGCGGGTTCCCTCAAAGGGGCGCCTTCACAGGCGGGATCCCCTAAAGAGTCCACTCGGAGAACGCGGCGGCTAGGCGAAGCGGAAGCCGGGGGAGCCCAGGACACCGGAAGCCGGGGACCCCGGCAGCGGCACGGGCCCCGCACTCACCTGAAGTTGCTGGGCTCCGCGCGGCCGGCAGCTGGGCCCCTGGCGGGCGTCCGGCTGGGTACTGGAGTCGGGTCTGGTCGCGTCCCAAGGCGACGGCTCCCTCAGGTAGAGCCTGAGGCGGCGGCGGCAGCGACAGGACGACAGACGACCGACGGACCGACTGCGCGGGCGGCGTGGGGCGCGCTTGGGCAGCGAGGGTGCGCGTGCGCGCTCCGGGGCGCTGACCCCGGGCGGGAGGAGCTGCTGCGGCGGGCTCCGAGCCGCAGCTCGGTCTCGCCGCTCCTTCTCACTCTGAAATTGCCCGCTTCACAGCCCGGCTTCCCCGGTTGCTAGGCAGATTTCGGCTCTCACACTTCCGGGTTGAGGCACGTTTCTCCGAGTGGCGGCGCCGCAAGCCAATGAAGTCTGTCCGCGGAGCTCAAGATCCGCACCCCGTAGAGGGTGCGACCAGCTTCAGGACAGACAGCCCGCAGCGACCAATGAGCTTGCGGGCCGGCTGGCCCTAGGGATCGCGCCGGTGGCTGGGGTGGGCCAGAAGGGGCGGGACAGAATGACTGACAAACAATCGGCCAATGAAAGTGTGGAGCGGGCTACAGGCCCAGTCAGATCGACATGGGGGCGGGATTTAGTTTTGGGGCGGGAATGCCGTGAGGGGTGCGGTCTGGAGGACGCGTCAATTCGTGGCCACCTCGCTCGGACTCTGGAGGGCGGTTCGACTGGGCCGCCCTGCGGCCGGCAACTTGGCTGGGCAGGGGGTTCCCCGCAGTGCTCAGCAGGGGCGCCCCACCCACAATGCACCGGAGGCGGCCGGGCCGGGTAGGGCTGAGACCTCAGGCTGCTGGTGGCCGGGCCTGGTCCCCGAGGGTGCCTGGTCCACTTCGTGGAGTCGTGGCCGTCGCCGCCGCTGCCTTCTCAGGAGAATCCGAGGTCCACGCGACCCCGGCCGGTTCTGAGAAGAATCTTCGGGTTCGCGTCACTGTCTGGTTCAGAGGACGCGGTCGGCGAGTTCGGCCTTCTGCACCTTCGCGTGCACTTCCTGCTTTTCTGAGAATTGTCAAGATGAGGATCCTTTGGGGTCCTTGTCCTCTTCACTGAGTAAATTCGGGGGATTCAGTACCACCGCGTCAAGGAATCTCTTAGGCACTATTGGAGTGCATGACCCTGTCTAAAACTAAGCATCTTTTTCCCTGTATGCTGCCACCCCCAAGAGGAGAGATATGAGGCTGAGGCGCCCCAATGCCCACAGCACTGCAGGAAGTCCGGGCCCCTCCCTCTTTCCTAAAGTTGTAGCACTTAAACTTGAAGGCGGGGTGGGGGGTGATTGTTTTCTGGATTTGTTTTGAGGCAGGATATCAATGTTTTGTTTTGTTTTTAAAGAGGGGACAGGATCTCACTATGTAGCTGGCTGGTCTGGAACTCAAACCACTATGTAGACCAGGCTGGCCTCTAACTCATTCTCTACCTACCCCTGCCTACAGAATTTTTTTCAGTTGTGTTTGTTATATTTATTTATTGTTAGTTTGCATGCTATTACACGCATGTAAAGGTCAGAGGACAACTTGCAAGAAATCAGTTCTCTCCACCATGTGGGTCTCAAGGTTTGAATTCAGCTTTTCAGGCTTAGCAGCAAAAGCCTTTACCCACTGACCCATTTAGTCCCCCCTGTTTTACTTGGTTTTTGATACTGTCTCCTATAGCCTAGGCTAGCCTCAAACTTACTAATGTAGTTGAGGATGACTCTGAACTCCCCTCAACCCTCCTTAATGCTTTTGATCTCTTCATCCCATCCCACCTGCCTCTGTCTTGAGAGTGCTAGGATTTTTGCCATGGCAAAAAAGCAAACTTTGGCGGTAGCATAACAAACTTTGATTGCCCCTATTGGGTATACTGATAGAACCTTTTCAAGAACCTCTCTTGGCTTCCCAACCACCTGCAGATAAAACTAACCTTTCATAGCAAACAGCATAGCATTGGACTTAACAGGAACAAGAAGCCTTCACCTGTCTGCCATCAATTTCCACCATTTTTTTTTTTAAAGACAGAGTTATGTAAGAAGCAAATGCAGCCTTCGACAAACTTGAACTCCTGATCCTCCTGCCTCTGTACCTCCTAAGTGCTGGATGGCAAGTGTGTGCCACCACACAGAATTCATGCAGTGCTGTAGATCAAACCCAGATTTTCCCATATGCTAATCAAGTACCCTGTAAACTGGGCTCATCCCAAACTCCCCTACCAGTTTTGTTTTGTTTTGTTTGGCGGGGAGGGGCAGGTCTCCTGTGGCTCAGACTTTTTTGTTGTTTTGTTTAAGTTTTTTGTTTTGTTTTTTTGGTCTTTTTGAGACAGGGTCTCCCTGTAGCCCCAGGTAGCCTGGAACTCACTACATAGACCACACTGGCCTTGAACCCATAGAGATCCACCTGCTTCTGCCTCTCAAGTGCTGGGATTAAAGGTGTGTGCCACCATGCCCATCTTCTGGTCTTTTTTAACCCACTTCTTCAGGGCATTCTTCTCTAACCCCAAGACTTGGTCAAGGTCCCCACTGTCTGCATAGCACATTAGAAACTCTGAGTTTGTTGATTCATGTCTGGCTTTTCTTACATGCTGTAAGGAGATCAAGGATGACTCCTAGACATTGCTGTATTGCCTGCCTCTTACAAATGCCTGGCACATTGTTGTGGAAAATCTTGTGACTGATTTTGCCTTTTGCCTTACATACCTATCATGCTGGAATGCATTGCTTCCTGTTTAGAAACTGAAAATTATCATGCTAATAGGGCATCTGGCCCGCTAGATTGTAATAGGCCCCAGGTAGCCTGGAAATCACTATGTAGACAGGGCTGGCCTTGACAGAGACCTGCCTGCCTCTGCCTCTGCCTCTGCTACCATGCACTACCATGCTCCAGCCCTTGTTTTAAATTTTGAGATAGGATCTCCCTGTAGCCACCACAGTTGGTCTGGAACTCACTGTGTGGACCAGACTAAATCCACCTGCCTGTGTGTACCCCTACTGGGTACACAAGCAGGGCCAGGTGCACAGATACCTGAATTACCAGAGGGAATTTATGATCCAAGAATACAATGAAGGGAAACAGGCCTGTTACACCAGGCAGAATGTTACACTGAAGAGATACAAAGAAATGCTTTAGGGATATAAAGGATGAAGCCATCAAACAAGATAATGGATGAGAAGCCTCTGTCCTTTGTAAACCAGGAAGCCCTGTTTGCATGAGAAAGGGGAGACTTGATCTCACTAGTGGGCTGAAATTCTTGGAAGGAAAATGAATAAATTCAGGGAATAACAGTGATGGGTGGTTGGCCAGGAGTTAGGTGGAAGAGGGGGAGGGCATGACTCTGAGTGAACTCCCCCTGGCCCCAAGTGACCAGCTGACAGTTACTGGCTAAAGACTGAAGCCAACATAAACATGAAGACAGCATGTTTCCAGCATACACTCTGTTGGCACTGATGCTCCAGCCACTTACCACACTCTGCAAGTGTTTGAGGCAAGAAGAGTGGACTGTAAACACTTGGGCCTGGTGGCTGGAAGAACTGGGTACAAACCCATGCCTGCTACTCCCTAAAAAGGCTAGTTATTTTCTTCACCTTGTAATAAAATAAATCGGATTCCTAGCCAGGTGTGGTGGTGCAAGCTTTTAATCCCTGCACTTGGGAGGCAGAATCTCTGTGAGTTTGAGGCCAGCCTGAGCTACATAAAGTTCCAGGCCAGCTGGGGCTATAGGGAGACGCTGTGTCAAAAAAGACAAAAATAGGGGCTAGAGAGATAGCTCAGGGTTTAAGAACACTGGTTGTTCTTGCAGGAAACCCGGGTTCAAATCCCAGCACCCACATGGCAGCTAGCAACTGTCCATAACTCCAGTTCCAGGGTATCCGATGGCCTCTTCTGTCTTCTGAGGGCATTGCAGGATACGGGTGCACTTCCCTACATGCAGGCAATACACTCATACACATAAAAATAATAAATAAGTGGCTGGAGAGATGGTTCAGCGGTTAAGAACACTGTTCTTGCAGAAGACCTGAGTTCGATTCCCAGCACCCACATGGCAGCTAACAACTTTAACTCCAGTTCCAGGGGATCCAACAGCCTCTTCTGTCTTCTGAGGGCATTGCACTACATAGGTGCACTTACCTACACTCAGGCAATACACGCGTACACATAAAATAAAAAT